GCGAGATTGTGTTGGAGAGGAAAATGAGCAGAGACAATGGATGGCTGTGACAGTCAGTGGAGGGAGGAGGCAAGCGGAGAGGACGAGCCCGGCTCGCTGAGGATGAATACTCAAGCTGATAGACGGGAATGTGACAAGGGCATGACAGACAGGAGAGCAAAGGATGGACATCGAGACAGAGAGCACAACAGTGTCAGTGAGGATAAAGAATGTGAAAATGTGAAGCAGATGTGTTTACATCCTCCTCGTCCCTCAGCTGTATCCCTTGAATCCTGACAGGGAAGCAGGCAGCAGCCAAAACCGTAGCAGGGGGAAATACATGTCTGCTCAGACACACATGCACAAGCGTAAAATACAACACAAACAGCTACAGCTACAGCTACAACAGGGCAAACAGCAGCAGTGCAAGTTTAAACCCCGGGGCCCCGGCAGCAGCTGGATGCTCTGCCGTCCCTTGGGAAGCAGCGCTACACGAAGCACTGTCCTATTGGTGACCTGGAGAAGACACAGCAGAAAGGGGAGGATGACGAGAGAAAATAGAATCAAAGAGGAGGAGGGGGGAGGGGGACAGGTTGCTGTAATGCTTGTTAATGCTAATACCTGAGACCATGACAGACAATTATGTAATACCAAGCGACGTTGTAAATTTATGTGACATCCACACATGGACTCTTCCTCTGCATGCATCTTGTTTTTGCACATGCATGAGGCAGCACATACACACACACAGCTTCCCAAAAGGCACTGTTGTTCTCTATTATTCAAACATCTGATTTAACCAGAAGAGAGAGCATGAGCCCTTTAATGCATGATGTCAGCACATATATCATATAGAAGATACACAGAAAGATAAAAATTGTGGAAAGCTAAAGGGCACGTCTCTCTAGTTGTTCTTCAGTGTTGAGTGTGTGTGAAGAAAAGGCACACACACATACACAGAGCACAGAGGAAGTGTGGATGAAGGCTGTGACATGATTCTGCACCAATGAAAGCCACACATTTAGTTATTCAGCTATTTCCTGGTGAAGATTCGGGTTTAAGACACTGTATGAAGAAGTGGACTGACAGACACACAAGAAGCATACAAAGGCAAAGGCACCACAAATGACATCAAAGCCTTTGAGAAGCACAACACTCAAGGGGGTGCGTGTGGATGAAATAATAAGGGCTGTGTATGTGCTGGTGTGTGTTGTATACACATGCCAGGACAACTCTTCAGATCTCAAGAGCTGCCCTCTGTGTGTGTCTGACAGCTAAGTGACACTGGAGTTAGCATACCAAAGCCTTGTGTTTCCCAGACTCCATTAAGATGTGGCTGCTCCAGCCGGGCTCTGTGCCTCTGCCAAGCCCCTCTCACACACACTGCAACTACTGTTACACAGCAGGAGAAACAGGGGCATTTTTCAGGAGGGATAAATGAAGGTGTTTTGCACGTTTTCAAATATAGTACATTATATGTATTACTGCTATTGCCATCTTTTTTGATGAGGGAAACAGTGTGGGAAGTGGTGCACAAATACATTTAAACTCCCTTGTAGATATCTCATCCCTGCCACTTAGCATTTCCTTTTCTGAGAGCATAATTAAATTATCAGCTGTCACTTCGTTTAACTAGCGGAGATGCGCAGTTAATGTGCTAAATGCCACAGGGCTGGAGCTGCTCTGATTCAATGAATCTTAAGTGACCTCTCTTGAAAGCATCTCATTCTGCACTCAGTGTTTTTTTTTTTCTATGGGTGACAGGCTGGACAATCCCAACAAGCATCATCTTTGTCTCAGGCTCCGGATGTGTACATGCACCAACACGCACACATACACAATCTGTCTGCAGAGCAATCAGAGTGACAAGAGTAGAAAGTGGGACTATTAAAAGAAGTGTAGTAAAGCAGGAATCTGGTCCTAAGATGCTGGGATTTTGATGGCAACTGTGGCTCACAAGAGCCCAGAACACGGACAGTAATCCTCTGTTTGGGCGAGTGTGTTTAAGAGGGGACGTGATGCTGTCTATATCCCTGCTTACAGTACAGAGCCCCTTGGTCTTCGAACTAAAAGGAAACTTAGTAAAAGGACTGAATGATATTTTCAGAGGACTCACAGTGTCACTGTCATTAAATGAAGTTAACAAGAGATTTTTTTTTCAGATTTTTGCAGAACATCCTCTCGGAAACTCTTCAGGGAACGTCTCCCATTCTTACCCACTATCATCACCTCTTTAAGGCCATGCAAGCTACAGAAAGTGACAGCAGTTGCTTGAAACTACACTATAATACTCAAAGTAGAGCTCTGGCACTGGCAGCTCTTGCTCTCACATTTTGTGATATGTGTTTTGTATAAGTAATGAAGTGTGAAATAAATCTCTTTACAGGAAGCATGCCTCTGTGTGCATGTTTATACTCCGCAGCGGTCGTTGTATGCTGCGTAACCACATTATAATTTGGAACATTTAAAATAAAGTCGCTGACCATACTGTAAGGAAATGGGTGGGCAGAGGCAGGCGGGTTCCTGGGAGCACACTAAAAGTAGATGGACCCTAACATGCACACACAACTAAAACACAGGCGGAGACGGGGTTCTGTATCTTTACAAGTTTCATTTTATTGGTGTACTTTGACAATAACAATGATGGTATAAAAGAAAATCTCCATCATACAAATTTCAATAATCAAAAGATAATATGCCGATACACAAACAGATCCACATAAGGCTGACATCAAGTTTTGACAAGTGGCTTCAAATGGCTTCAATTCAAGGAGAATTTCTCTCCTTACAATCAGAGAAGATATATTTTTAATTTAACTATCTGTATCCTTTTTCTTTTTTTATTAGTTAGCTTTCATACAAAAAAATGAATCTGTGTTGATTTTAGAGTGGATTGTGTCGCTGGTTTGGGTGCCTATGTTTCATTGCATTGTAAGCATATGGTGTTTTTGGCTGACACATTGGTATCCCGCAGTGTTTTCCTCAGACCTACACCTTAACCCAACTGCTGTCACTATCAAAGAGACATCAGACAAGACGCACTTCATCTGAAGATACGTCTGCCATCGTATGTCTCTTCAACTGCTACAGCATGTTAAGTACAGGGAGGCCTCTGGACTGCAGAACACCTCAAAGATTGTGAGAGAAACCTCAAATTCAGGGATATGGATGTTTTTATTTATTTATTTATTTTTTTAAAGGCGGTGCTGGGAAGCAGTGATGTAAAAACATTGATGTCGCTGTGTAAGCTTCACTAGCACTTAAATGGCACCGGATCAACCCCCAGCCAAATCCCTCCAAAGCCTTGTTCTTTATGCTAGCATCTGTAGTGATAGAAGACCTTATAGAATTTCTAAAACACTACACACAACAATATTTACAATGATCATTTTCTTGATATGCACTTTTTTCAATTTAAATATTTTTGCTTATAAAAAAAAAAAAAAAAAAAACTGTGAAAAAAACACTGCAATAAATTAAGAAGCTTTAAGGCTGCCAGTCTTGTCAGATGCCCAAATAATGGTCCCTTCATTTAAACTGGCACAGAATGGATCAGAGCGGGTGAGACTATGGTACGGTGAAGCCTCTTGAGCGAGCAGTAGGCTCGGTCTTGGTCTGGATTGAGACCATGTACAATATATATAACAGGAACAAGACTAGCCAGCATGCTCTTATCACCAACTGATAGCAATCCATTTCCTGTTAAAAATAAAAAGCAAGAGAGCATTGACTGATTAGCTCCTCGTTACTTAGTCATCATCCTGCTGATTATGGTGTTGGCCGATGAAACTGCTCGTTCTATATCGTGGAGTATAAAGTCTAACAGCGAGTCAAAGAATATCTACGTCATCCAGAGGGCCTCTTTATATGGAGAGGTCGCTCAAGGTCTGAATCTTCACCCCAAACACTCAAACTAAAACCATTTGGCTTTTGCTATATGTCCATCTAGCTTTTAATTTAAAGCAATGTAAAAGTATAATATACAGTGTATCATTTAATTGTCAAGAACTAGAAAAAGAACATGTTCACTATAAATCTTATCAGTGCTGAAAAACAAAATGAAAACAAAAATCTAGATGGAGGACAGTAAAGACCTCCAAAAAAAAGGTTCAGCCATTTCACTCAAACACACGTGGAAAAGAAAACTTAACACAAATGCTGCTACTGTCCATGGCTTCCACTGGGCACCTCCTGAGTGGTTGGCTAGGAGGTAAACACGTGCTTCTGTTTGTGGCGATGAACCAAAACAACAAGTAACACGAATTAGCTTCACCTGGCAGGATGAAAAGGCAACAGGATTACAAATGCATGCTCTAGTTTAATTGGAGCCATAGAAGTTTGAGGGATGTTTTGCCTGTTGATACTGGCCTTTGTGATGTTAGGATTGGTTCCAGTAAGCACGTAGAGAGAGAATCCCTCAAAGGGAGCTCTGGAAGGTCAGCACCATTGATTATCAATTCGTATAAAAGGAGGTGCTCAGTGAAAGACAGTGACCACTAGCATGTTCTGATTAGGTATCTTACTCTTCCTGTGGTTGTCACACAAAATGGCTTCCTCCAACGTGTCTGTTCAGCAGATTAATACACAGCAGGCTACCGTTCAATTTAATCTGAACCAGCTATTCGTGTCATTTCTGAGCAGGAAATCTGCATTTAAATGAAACGGAACAGCTCCTCGTTTACACAGACCTGAACCTCACAACCCCACACAAATACACATAACTACAAGTTTCAGTGCATCTAACACGGTCTGTCATATGCCACACACTAAATCATCACATCAACCTGCAAGAAAAATAAAAATGGAACAATTACAGAAAATAATCCATAAAAGATCAAATAAATAAAACGAGGTCCTGCCTCTTTACTTCTTAATTCATTGTGGACACAACAACAACGGTTTGTCAACCACCAACATTTTCCCCAAAAGATACATTATAACTAATGCATACAAGGCGATTTGTGTGAAATGAAGTAGCCGCATGACTAGAGGACAGACAGTGAGGAGTAAGTGTCTGTATGTTTTTTTTTTTTTTAAACTACATTTACAGTATTGGGATATTTTACTCAAAATCAACACTGTCAAACACACAAATCAGTGAAGGGACATTTTAGCAACTGTTGTGTACTGCCAGTGTAGTGCTGTGTCAATGCAGTTAGGCTGACAGATGCCACCGAACAAAACCTCAACTTAGACCAACATCCCAACGTATGATTTACACACAGAAACTCACTGGCCAAAGCCTGGCCACAAGCTAACAAAGCTAATCAGTGGTGTATCGTCTGATGCCTTAAATAAGCACTCAGATCTGGTTTTCCCTATCCATGTCTAGATAAAGAAATGTCAGTTTAAAAAAATAAAGGCAGCCATAGATTGGTTGTTGTAGAGATACAGTTTTCACAGCACCCACAGTGGAGGAGGGCTGGCTAACAGTATTACAAACACTAGACAATCTGAAAAATAACAAAGCAAAAGCTTCTGTAAACACCACTGACAGTGACAGCAATCAAGTATTCTCTACCTCCAATTCTCTCCCGTAAAAAATGAAGGTGAGTAAACATTAAGCATGTGGGATCTAAAAATAAAACGGCAAACTGTTTATCTCTCCCTGGCCTGGACTTGCACACACACTAAGTGAGGTCTAAAGTCAGTCAGTCACAGTTTCAGGGTGAAATCTCCTGGAGGTCACCCTGAAGACATTGCACTGACAACAGGGTACATACAGGCCATTTGCATAGCTCTCCCTCACTTATACACACACACACACACAGACACACACGGGTTCTGAAAAGGGTGGCATGTTTGCTTAGGCAAAGGTGTGTTGAATGTGAAGTTTGCATATGCAGTCACTCCATCTCTGTAGTCCAATAAGGGTATGCTAGCACCCATGCTATTGCATCTGTATAGTGAGGAAGTTAGGGCTAAATTCTGCTGTCTGATATTACAGCTTATTGCTAACAGGATGAGCATTGCACTCCAACATACAACCACTTGCAGGCGACCAGAACATCCAATATAATTATGCAAATACAAACATCACAGTCTTTAAATGGTATGTTCACAGGACAAAATATAGCTTGTAAGAGATGATTAAGGTATTAATATTCTCTAAACATAGGATAAACTATTTCACATACAGTATACATGACTGAAAACACTCACTCTTTTTTATTTCATTTTCTCTTGCTCTCCTCACTTGTAGATTTGGCATATCTTCTGCAGAACCAGCTGCAAGAGTCCACTCGGTTAAAGTTGCTGCATGGTGTTGTGTGCATGCAAATGTTTTCACAGGTTTACTGCATTTGTTAAAATAAGATAAGAAGAAAAAACAGCAAAATAAAAAATTGAAGCTTCAGGGACCATGTCATGAATGTGCGTGCGTATCATGGCCTGTTTTAATAAACAAGCACAATAGTGTAGGGCTGAGCTAATAGTTGACTGAATAAGAAAATGAATGAATGAATGAATGAATGAATGAATGGATGCTGAAGGCCAAAATGGTGCAAAAGGCATGTGGAGACCGAACACTAGATAAGCCCAGATGAGAGGAGTGATGGACTGTGGCACAAGCAAGTGCAGCATTTATCCTTAATTTCTTATATGATTTATCCAACATACTTATTTGAGTCTCCTTTTTTTTTTGCATACAAACAAAATAAACAAAGCAAATAATCAGTCAACTAAAAAGTTCTAAGCAGTGCTGCAACTGGTGAGATATGGCTGATGTCCCAAAGGACTTTGATTCCCAGGTGTTTTGCAGTCCAGCTGTGCCTACTTCAGTAGTCAGCTATGGGTGCAAGCTTTCTGCTCAAGCTGACTGTGATGTTGGTGTAGAGAGGCCTCCTGGACACTATGGGGGAGTAGTTTAGGTTGTTAAGACCATCCACTTTCTGTCTCTCCTTTGAATGGCGTAGTAAACTATACCTGCAAGAGCACACAATAAATCAGTCAGGAGAGGAGAGGAAAGGAGAGGAGTATGCAACAGTTATGTGCCCAGTGCATTGGAAAGAGTGTTTAAAAGTTCCGGTTAGACAAGTTTGATTGTTGATTGATGCTCCGTTGCCACTCAATGAGACGTTTTTGTGGAACAGGTTTCAGTAGTGTAGGAGGTTTCATCATCCTATACAGTCTTACGAAAATAATATTGGCTGACATTGAGAGCGTCATTGTCTGTGGTTTAGACAGAAAAGTGACAGTTGCATATATATTCCCATGGGCAATACGCAGCATTGTTGACAAGAACATACTAGCTTTTCGAAGCTTCACAAAGACACATTTATATTCATATGTGTGTTCAATATTTGTATTTTTTTCTACCTAGTATCAACTTCTTGAAGTTTTATTAACAAATGAATGAAACATTTATTCCTTGGGCTCTTTTAAGTAACGTAGAATTTCAGCACAGAGATCATGATTGGAATTCAGGCCCGAAGCATACAAGCATATCACATGCAAAGTCTTTAAAAGAGTTGAAATTCTCTCAAAGTCACTGTTCTTGCTGTTCATGTGACTGGCTTACACCACATGAGCCTAAGCCTCATTCCAATTATCAGCTTCCACTTTTAACCAAAGGGTGTGTGTGTGTGTGTGTGCGTGTGTGTGTGTGTTTGTGTGAGCATGGACAGATACTAACCTTCCCAGGAACTGGACTTCCCCGCGATGGTGATGAGGAATTGACATGTAGCGTCCCTGCTCTCCGTGTGGTCTACTTACGGTGTAATTGGCATACCGCACTCTGTACAAACATTTAATGCTCATTAATCCATTACACATGCAGGCTGAGCAAATACTGCAGTGATGACTTTCATTGTCATAAAGCATAATAGTAATCACTATAATAGCCACTATAATATTAAAACTGTGTGCAACATGATACAGACAAATAAAAACACAAGAGGGGGAGGTTTGGCGGTAACTGCACAAAAAAGGAATCTTTACATACGGAAGCATTACACAGGCCAATCAATTAGAGTTTGTGGTGTATACTGAGAGCCGAGTGTGTACAGCTGCCTGTGAGCTCTGTAGGTGGGGGGAGGGACAAAAACGATGTGTGGCAAAGGGAAAAAAAAAAACTCCCATACTATTACAAAAGCCTGCTATGTGCCAACTGGCCCAACCCATCTCTTGAGCCCTCCTAATGTCAACGATACTGTCAGCTCTCTGACTCACCTGTTCCAGAGGTCATCGTCCTCTCCTCCCCAGCCCCAGAATGCATTAGGAAAACCATTAATCTTTTTGAACTGCTTCACCGTCAGGCCACTGACACCACCGAAGAACTCATTATATGGGAGCCTTGGGGAGACAATTACACATATTAAATTCATATTAAGTAAGAAATACATTTACTGTATATATGCCCATGGAGACAGAATCCGGACTCACATGTAGGAGTACTTGTCGAGTTTGACCGCAAAGTGTCGAGGCATGTCTGTGCAGCCGTAGTAGTTTCTATCGTTCTCCATGAGGTGATCCACATCGTGGAAAATCAGACAGTCCCAGTCCAGGTCCTTCATAGCCTCCTTGTAGCCCACGTTAAACAACATGGCTCGGTTAAATGGCTCTGTGCCCCCCTTAAAAATTAAAAAAAGAGATTCTTTCATATTATGACAATTCCCATTTTCATAGGTTGTTATGCTTGTTATGTTCAATCATTTGAACAAATTCAAACAGTAAAACCCGGAAATTTGTATCACCTGAGAAGGAAACTCAGTTCCTGCAAGAGTTCACACAGGTGAATCTGTGAATCCATGCCAATGACTGCAAAGGTGTGTGCATACCTGTTCTATGAAATAAAAGGCAAACTGGAGTCTCTGTTTTTGTAGCACTGGCACCAGGTGTCTCAGGAGAATAGGTAAGTGTTCATGTCGGTTCCTGAACGGGACTAGGATTGCCACCTAAGGGACACAAAATGGATAATAGTACAATAGATATAAAATGACATGCATATAAATGGGGGACACACACCGACACACAGAGCACACTGACTAGCCTAACACAGTCAAATGCACTATTTGTACAAAGTGAATGTTTTAAAGAGTTGTGATCTCTCAGCAGGTAATAAATCGGGAAGTGTAGGCGAGGACAGCACCAAAAACCACTAATTACCATGAAGACTCATGACTAAGAACTGGCAGATTCTTGATATCTTATTTCCATGATGAGATCTGGCATGCATCAATCATAGAAGCACTGCGGCACTAAAAGTCTGTGAAAGGTGTATTTTTTTTCCTAAAAAGAAAGTTTCTTTTGAAGCTCAATAAAAGGCAAACTGTCACAGGAAGGAAAAAAGCAAAAACAAAAACAAGTGAAATGGTGACAATGTGCAGCTGAGAGAGAGAGAGAGAG